TACCATCAACATCCAACAATCTCTTCTTTTTTACTCACTCTCTTAAATCTGTAATCTTTACAGTTTGATACTATCACCAGGACTGATAGCTATACAGAGTCTACATGTTTACAATAGAATCAAAACATTGAGAACTGCAATTAAGGATTCATTATGAGATGAAATAACCACCATAGGAATATATTGTTAATTAAGAAAAGGACACCAGCAAAAATTGATAAACCAGCAAAAATATGAGAAAGAACAAATGAACTTGATCAAAATTATAACTTGCATCTAATATTTTTAACTGAAATCTATAACCTACAAATAAATTGCACATGCAGTTGGCAGATAGGAAAAAAGAAAAGGTATAAAGGTTTCCAAAAGCATCTTCCAAATAATTGAGATTAATCATGAACTGAGTAACAAATGTGATAAGCAACAAACCAACTTTAATAGATAAACATAGTTGCAGCTCCATTGGCATTAAATCAAGAAGATATATAGATATTCAACTTCCACCAATTATATCTTTTAGCAATGCTCATTGTACTTCAAAACTTGTACTGTTTTGTTACTACAAAACACAAAGTATGTAAATTCGTTCCTTTTGAATTTCCATGGAGGCCTCATGTATTTCAATTGTTATTTCTACCTGTGAACAACATTTTAAATATCGGTTATTGAAAATATATCGGACGGCTAAAATTCATATCGGTTCCTAGTTATCGGGATATATCGGGGATAAGTAGTAAAAATCAGAGTGTTACATCGGATGGTAAGCGTATATAATATAATGCCTTAAAATATAATCTAAGCACATTTAATGAAAAATCAACATACTAATATTCAAATAACACATGTTTAAAAATCACTTACCAATTATTTTTGTTTAGTGAATGCGAAATAGAATAGAATAGCATTGTTTTTCGTTTAGTGTATGAGGGATGGGCATCGAAAAAGAAGGTTTTTGTCTCCAAAAGCAAACGAGTTCACTTAAAGAGTGTAAATTGTAGAAAATCGAGTGATTTTTAGCCCATGAAAAATCGGCCGCTTTATCGAATTTACACCAATATGTCAGGAAAAATCGGCCCACAACCATATGCAATATATTTTTGCAAAAGCCGTATCGGCCATAGCCCAAACCCTATATATTGGCGATAAATCGATAAAATCAACCTATTTTTAAAACACTGGTTGTGAAAGATGTTGAAGTCTTCTAGTGCGAAAGTAGCACTAGATTTACACCGCACTTAAGAGTTACTACTTACTTTTTGTTCGCTTTTTCTCTTTTGTTTAAGCAGATACATAGACTGATTAGATCAGAGGAACAGAAATCCATGACAGAAAAATCAAGATCCACGGTTTCCATTCTTTTTTTTTTCTTTGAGTAATGCTTGTCACATGAAAAAAAAAACTCGCACTACTGTGCCATATCAAAGCACACATGCCCACGTGAATATCAGGGATCGTATCTCTACTTGTAAAGATGGTTTGTTTTGGGTTATACGGGGAAATATGACGTACCCAAATGAGAAGGCGGGTTCCAGTCCGGTCATACTCGGCCTGGGATAAGGATTTTGCCTCTTCCCCTATAGATATGCATGTAATGGCTCATGAAGATGCAAAACTTCATCTTCGTCTTCTATGGCATCCCATCTTCTAATTTGTTTACTGTTTCTAGAATGCACCCTAGGATTTACCCCACCACTAAACTCCATTGATCATTTGATTATAATTCATCTACATGTTTAGCATGCATATTCAACTATTGGCTACAGCCATTATCAAAAGCACTACAAAATTCTGCAGTATTGAACGGGATAAACAGAAAATCTACAAAGGAGGAATACCTCGGTAGCCATTGCCATGGCTAATCAAGAAGCTGAGCAGAAATATGATGCCCCATAAGAACAGAACAAGTGATAGAGACAGAGAGACTTTGTAGGACAGACGTTTGCTGCCCAAGCTCCCGCTCTTCTCTAATGCAGAAGCTGCAGCTGCTCTTCTCTGCAGAAGAGCTCTTCGTGACCTCTGCATTATTATTATTATTATTATTGCTCATCAATCCAGATTCATCTCTGCACGCCAATTAATCAAAGATGAGCAAACAGAAAAAAGAAAAAGGTGGTTGCTACTTGATTTCAATTCTATGTAATTGAGGAGCTTTCCTCATTGCTGTTAAGCAAAGCAACCCCTTTTTACCTATAATACTATTACCAATAGTAGGAAAAATAATTGACTTTTGAGAGAGAGAGAGAGAGAGAGCTTGCCCACTCACTTGAATATAACCTTTCCCCTACATATTGAAAATCCAAAGATAATCTTGTATCTTTATTTTATTCATAATCTACGCATTATCGATTGAAAATTCTAATGAAAGTACAGTAAGAATTCATAACGGGAAAGAAAATAAAAAAAACTTTCTGTCTTTATTATCAACTCTCAACACTTCCCCGCCTACAAATAGGGAATCGAAAGACACCGGTAGCATAATTTTCGTGTTATTGATTGAACATTTCAAATAAAAGACCGTAAGAATTCAAATTGAAGTAGATTGTAAAGCTTCAATCAATGGATTTCATAAGGAAAAACCAAATTTAAAAAAATCAGTGAAAAGT